TTTCTTTCTTTCTTTCTTTCTTTCTTTCTTTCTTTCTTTCTTTCTTCCTTTTAAAACTTTTCTTTTTGAGACAGGGTCTCGCTTATGTAGTTCAGGCCAGATTACAATTCTGCCTCAGGTTCTCCAGTGCTGGCACTACAGGAGCAGACAAGAAGGTCGTTTTGTTTTGTTTTTTTTAAACAAACAAGGAAAACTTTATTCAGGATGTTGGTGTCAGAAGGAGTGTGGATGGCATGGGCCCCACCCCCAGCCCACAGGTCTCTTGAAACTGATCCAAGGGCACAGCCTCGTGGAGAAGTCTTGGAGGAGCCCTACAACTTTGTGGTCCAGCAAGTCTTTCTCACAACGTTAAGCACGTGGCTGCATCTCTGAGAACTCTTACCTTCCGGCTTTTTGTTGCATGAAGTATCCAGAGTGCCCCCTGCAGCTCTTAGCTCTCAGGGCGATTCCACAGTGACAGGCACAACGGGATCTCCCATCCAAGTACTAACCAGGCCTGACCCTGCTTAGCTTCCGAGATCAGACGGGATCGGGCACGTTCAGGGTGGTACAGCCCTACACAACACGGCAGGATCTCACAGGATGAGAAGACCAATGGGCCAGGGCCACACTGAATCAGGACAGCGTCAGTTAGGGTTGGCTTATTTTTTTCTTTTAATTTTTAAGACAGGGTCTTGCTAAACTGCCAAGGCTAGGCTTAAATTTGCAACTCTCCTGTCTCAGCCTTCCAGACTTCTGAGATTATAGGCTTGCAGTGCCACACCCACCCTGTAGTTTTTTTCTTTTTCTTTTTGTATTTTAGGGAAGGGTCTACAGAGGTGTTCAGGGTCTCACTACTAGATCAGACTGGTAGTGATCCACCTGTTTACAGCCTCCCAAGAGCTGGGATTAGCACCATCACGCCCAGTCTCAATTGCAGTCTCAGCGTACCCCGGGGCCAAACCCCAGGCCTGAGCCTGCTAGCCTGCATTTCAATCAGCCAAGCTATTTGGCCAACCCCCACCCTATAGTCTTAATTTCAAACATTTTATCATATACATTATAAACATGCTCTTACATGCCATACTGTGTATGATTCAAAAACCTCAGACTTAGACTTAATATACTAACGTCATCTTGGTGTGCCTCAAACTTTGGCCCTTGCCTATATCTTATTTCTCAGTGACTTGGAGGTTTACAGAATTTCCGAATTAGGCACTTGTTACCCAGGAGGCTAAAACAGGAAGATCCCTTGGATCTAGGGTCCAAAGGTAGCCTGGGGTATACTGAGAACCCCCATCTTTCTTTCTTTCTTTCTTTCTTTCTTTCTTTCTTTCTTTCTTTCTTTCTTTTTTTTTGTATTCAGTACAGGATCTACAGGGTCTCACTATGTAGATCAGACTTGTAGTGATTCTCCTGTTTTCAGCCTCCCAAATGCTGGGATTACAGGGGTGCATCACCACACCCCATCTCAACTGCCATCTCAGTATGGGGGGGGCATGGCCAGCACAGAAGCCGAGGATTGCACCCGGCTGTTGCGCTCCACCAAGCAGGCACTTTAGTCTGCCAAGCTATCTGGCTGGCCCTAGAACCTCCATCTTAAACTACAAACCATTCCAGAATTATATGAAAGAAGTGGCACACAAGTAACATCTGGCTGTTACCTTCGCCCTACATAGTATTTAGTTTTTAATTTACTTGTTAGCACCTAAAATTCAGATATTTTCACAAAAAAGACTTCTGGCATTTGCTAAAGAAAGTAAAATTTTAGATGTTCTAGCCACACTGGGATCACACTCCTCGTGCAAGTTATTATTCAGGGTTAGGTAAGTTCTGTTTTAGTTTCAAATACTGTGAATGCTGCTGTCAGAGTGTGGCCCAGCGGAAAGCCGGGCCCATGAGAACAGTACCGCGTGTCCTTATCCACCCTGTTCGCTGCATCTGACAGCCTTGTGACTTCAAGCTCTTCCCCAAAGTCAAAATAACGTAGAAGGTAAATACTGAGTTAATTCAGAACACTGAGGCAGCCATGAGGGCCCAACTAAAGACATTCAGCAAAGAGGGCGTGCAGATGTGCTTCAGAAAGTGGCAAGACCAGTGGGGTAAGTGTGCTGGAAGGAGATGGAGCAAGGGGGATTAACGGCCATGTGTCTTTTACTATAATAAGCTTTTTAATTTAAACATTCATACCAGGTGTGGTGATGCACGCCTGCAGTCTCAGCACGAGGCAGGAGGATCACTTCAAGTCTGAGGCCAGCTGGGCTACAGAGTGAGTTCAAGGCCTGCCTGAACTACATAGCAAGACTCTGTCTCGAAAAAAATAAAAGCGCTCATTTCGGCAGCACATACCAAAATGGGAACGATACAGAGACTAGCATGGCCCCTGTACAAGGATGACGGGCAAATTTGTGAAGCGTTTCATATTTTTAATAATATCGAGAAACTAAATATTAAAAAATAAAAGTAATATGTTAAAAAAAAACAAAATAAACATTCACTGTATTTTCTTTCTTTCCTTTTTAAGACAGGATTTCATCATGCATTCAGACTGGCCTTGAACTCACACCAATCTTCCTGCCTCAGCCTCCTAAGTGCTGGGATCACAGGTATGTTCCACCATATTCAGCTTCACAGTTTTTTGTTTTTTTTTTTTTAATGGTACAGGAGATTGAACGGGACCCTGCGCTTGCCAGGCAAGCACTTATTCTACTGAACTATCTCCCCAGCCCTTCACTGTATTTTTTTAATCATACTACTTACATGGTTTTCTACCATGGGGGAAAAATTAATTTTCTCTGCTTTTACTCAACTCACTGTATTTTCAGGGTTTGTTGTTGTTGTTGTTGTTGTTTTTCATCTAGATCCAACTTTTCATTTGTCTGTGACCCAGTTTTAGGAATACTAGAAGTTAGAGTAACTACACCAGTTGATGTAATCAGCTTGGCAGGATTTGAATACAGACTCTGCAATTTAGCCTGTCTGTACCTCAGCTGCCTCCTCTAAATTAATTGCAAGAATAATAGTACTATGGGGACTGGGGAGATGCTCAGTGGAATAAGTGCTTCCCTGACAAGGGCACGGGTCTGAGTTTAATCCCTGGTTCCATTAAAAAAAAAAAAAAAAAAAAAAGTAATAGTACCAGAAGTCCTTTGTCTGTGGGATAACTGGCTATAATTTTTCCCCACTCTGTCTACTAAGTGGTATTTGAAACAATGATATACTCTATTATTTGAGGCAGGGTCTTAACTTTGGAGTTCAGAATGACCTTGAATTCATTGGGTAACCCAGCCTGGATGGAACTCGTAATAACCCTCTTGCCTCAGCCTCCCAAGTGATTGAATTGCAGGCATGCACCACCCCACTCGGCTATTTCTTATTCTGAATACAACACTGCAGATCAAGAGTGATGGCCCACCCTTGTAATCCCAGCAATCTGAGACTGAAGACGGAGTATTTCAAATTCGAGTCCCAGTTGGGCAAATTTGTGAAACCTTGTCTCAAAAAAAAAGGGGGGAGGATGTAGCTCCGTGGCACAGAAGTTCCTTGGGTTTGATCTTCTCTACCAACAAAACAAAACATGAAGCGACTAGGGATCCTCAACCTGGGATGGTCAGAATGTGGACAAGGAAAAAAAGGCGGGGAGGTGAGATAGCTCAGTTGAATAAGTGCTTGCCTGGCAAGCGTAAGGACCAGAGTTCTAAAACAAAAAAAAGAATGTGGGCAAGAGAATCCACATCCTCCATGCCGGGGATCGAACACAGGGCCTCACACATGCTGAATAAGCGCTCTACCATCGAGCTACATTCCGTAGCAGAAAATTTGACTCCTTGGGCCGGCAAGATAGCTCAGTGGTCTAAAGCGCCGGCTTAGGCAAATTTAGACAGGCGCAGGGGACCACGGTTCGATCCCCGGCATCTCAGGACCTTCCCCCCCAAAAAAAAAGTATTAAAAAAGAAAATCTGACTTCTTATAGAGCCACAAATAAACACATAAAAAATGTGGCGCTCTGACATGCGTACCGGAACGCCACGCGAATTTAAGGCGGCCTGATTAGTGACATTCAGCGGGAATAGGAGGGCGCCAAGCAAAGGAAGTGACGTAAAAGTCACTCACATGACGTAACGAGAGCGCAGGCGGAGAATTGTTCTGATTGGTTGTTCTCTTGAGCTAGGGCCCTATCATTTTTCTGAGTCTCTACCTTTCACTTGCGCGTTGGGCCTTGCCCTTAGCAAAGATGGCGCAGGGCTTCCAGCTTCACTTAGGGCATGCGCATTCTAGGAAGTTTGGCCCCAGAAGACTGGAAAACAACCGTAGGGTTCGTGAGCGTTGATTGGCTGAAGCGAAAAGCGTGGGCTGACTGGCTCGGTATTTCGCGGGAAGGAGTTTGTGGCGCCAGAAAAAAAGTGGATGCGAGGGAGTCGCGGCGACGGGATCCTGAAGTGTTCTGCGAACCTCCCCCAACGGGACCTTCTGTCCTTCCTTTCCCGACGCAGTCGCGACGAAGATGTGGAATAGTAATTAACGACGGGTGGAACGGGGGGAGGAGGAGGAAAATGGCAGGAGGAGTGAGCGAGCCCGGGGTGCGAAGGCTGGCGGTGGCGGGACGAGAGCCGAGGTGGCGGGAGGTTTAGGGAGACGGGGCCGGTGCTGGGGCGCGTGAAGTCTCGGGGAACCGGCCGACTTCTCAAGGGCTCGGACGGCGACGCAGGCACTTAACGCTGTTGTTTAAAACAGGTGGCTTTGAAAGCTACGGCAGCTCCACCTACGGGGGAGGCGTCAGCTACACTCAGTCCCCGGGCGGCTTCGGATCGCCGACACCGTCGCAGGCCGAGAAGAAATCAGTAGGTTGCAAGACCAGGGTTTGGTCTTACATCCTTCTACTGTTCTAAAATTGCAAAATCATCCAACAGACAAAACGTTTGAGGCGACGGAAGGGTGTTATGCGGAAGGGTGTTACGCGTGAACTGACCAGAAAGCTACTGATTATTTTCCACGTCTCTTAAAATGTATAAGTGCACTAAATTTTAAAAACGGAATTTCCCCCAATTCTGCATCCACTGTTTCCTTGGCTGTGTTCTGAATTTCTCGTAGCTATTGAGTTAGTCTGGTGGGAAAACTTTTTTTTTTTTTAATGTTTATTTTAATTTTTTTTTGGCGGAACCCGGGATTGAACTCAGCCCCTTGTGCTTGCCAGGCAAGCGCTTATTCTACTGAGCCATCTCCCCGGCCCCTCTGGTGGAAAAACTTTGAGCTTGTATTCATAGCCTGTTTTATATTCCTATATTCCAGGTTGTTTTTGGATTAAACAGTGAGGGGCCATAATGCAGTGAAAAAGTTGGGGTTTTTGGTTTTGTCTCTCTCTCTTTTTTTTTTTTTTTTTGGTGAAACTGGGAATTGAACTCAGGCCCTTGCGCTTGCCAGGGACGCGCTTATTCCACTGAGCCATGTCCTTGGCCCCTTTGTTTTGTTTCTGAGACAGGGTCTTGCTTTGTAGTTACGGCTACCCTTGAACTCACTGTGTAGCCTGGGCTGGCCTCAAACTCACAGTAATCCTCCTACCTCAGCCTCCTGAGTGTTAGGATTGCAAGCACCACGAAGCCTATTAAGAGTGTGATTTCTCTGACACTTGTTTTCATGGTGTGGGCAGGCACATTCCTTAACCTTCTTGATTAACTTAGACTAAATGGGGTTAAATTCTAACTTACAAGAATGTTATGAGATACTAACTAAATACAAAGTGCCTGCTCTGTGGTCACTTTCCACAAACAGAATAAGATATTCTTTTTTTTTTTTTTTTTTGGTGGAACTGGGGATTGAACTCAGGCCCTTGCGCTTGTCAGGGAAGCTCTTATTCCACTGAGCCATCTCCCCGGCCCTTAAAATATTATTCTTAAAAGAACACGGGGCTTGGAGGCAGAATATATAGACCCCAGAATTAACGTTGCCATTTTTCCCCCCTCAGGACCTAGGTGAAACTCAGGGCCTCACTACAAGTGAGCTATATTCTCAGCCCTTTTTTTGAGGTTGAATCTTGCTGTGTTGTCTGAGCTACCCTTGAATTTGAGATCCTCCTGCCTCAACCTGCTGAGGAGCTAGGGTTACAGACACACATCACCACACCCAGCTTAATTCTGCCTTTTAACTGACATTAGTTAGCAGGTTGTAGGCTGTGACCCTTCGTTTTTCTCTTCTGATGGTGGTGCCAGCGCTGCTCGTAATACAGAATACTTCTGAAACTTGATAAATAGGGGATTTAAGAAAGTAATCTATAGAAAGTTGTCCAGATGTTTATTTGCTCTTTTAGTGTTGACTTTGCACTTAATAGTTGCTATTGGGGCTGGTGAGATGGCTCAGTGGAATAAGCGCTTCCCTGACAAGCGCAAGGGCCTGAGTTCAATCCCTGGTTCTGCCAAAAAAAAAATAGTTGCTATTGATAACTGCAGGATTGATTGGGCTTCTCTTTAGGTGCCACTCAGATGTGGTGTTTAAGATTCATTGTGTTTGGTATATGGGGTGATAAGCCTCTCCTTAAAACTCTTATACCAGGTGTGTGTTGGTAAGGGAAAAAGCCATCAGTAGTTGCTATACATTTGGATATTGCTTTTTATTTTTCACAAGTTATTTCATGTCCTGTACTATTGTTTATTGCAGCATAAAGCAAGGCGCTAAGGTGTAGTTAAGGACTAAGCTTATGGAGCCAGTGAACTAGAACCAGATAGGGTACACATGATGCTGAGCAAACGTAAAATAAAATCTCTTGAGCATCTGCTTCTCTCCTCTCTCTCTTAGTGTTTCCTTTTTTATTCCCTGGAAAGCTATAAGGAATTTCAGCTTTTCTCTTCCCAATTCCTCCCCTCCCCTCTCTTCTGTCTCTGTGTCTCTGACTCTTTTCTCTTTCTCTCTGTCTCTGTCTCTCTCTCTCTCT